TGGCCACTCTAACTGTGAAGAAGTTCTTCCTAATGTCCAATGTTAATCTGCTCTCTGCTAGCTTGTGGCCATTATTTCTTGTAACCCCCGGGGGCGCCTTGGTGAATAAATACTCACCAATTCCCTTCTGTGCCCCCGTGATGAACTTATAGGCAGCCACAAGGTCGCCTCTCAACCTTCTCTTGCGGAGGCTCTTCCCTGGCACCACGGCTCTGGACAAGCCACTCTTCCTGGGCTGGGGTGGGCGCAGGTATTCCAGGGGCTCTGGCCTGGTAGTGCAGCTGAGGCTGGCTCCGCTCGAGCTCCAGCCCCCACTGGGCAGTGTGGGACTGGGGCTGGGCTGGGACCAGTATGGAGAGGCAGCCAGGTGGGTGCAGGGCTGGGAGGTGGTGGATGCCGGCACTGGGCAATGACCCCTGGCACGGGGGGAAGGGGTGGCCACATGGGTGCAGCATGCTCTGGCCCTGATCCCAACCTAAGCCCCACTCCCTCCCCCACTTCCCCTACCCCTTCCCCTGCAGACTTGGGGGGAGGGGGGGTCTGCATGCGCACACATGCTCCGCCCATTTTTTTTCTCTCCCTCCCTTACATGCACATGGCGCCCCCTGCCTGACTGCTCTACTCCCGCTCCCCCCGCCCCCTGCAGGCTGGAACTCTGCCTGCCTGCAGGGAGCTCGTTGCAAAACTGCAAAATCCAGAGGTTCCTTTGCTAAAATGAGAAATCCACAATTTCCTCCGGTAAAGGGGAAATATGCATTTTTACTCCGTTTTGCCATGGGAAATGGAAAACCTGGATCCCTGCTCAACACCATCAGTTAGTGCCCAGGAGCGCTGCTGTAGAGTTCATTTCACCTGCTTTCTTCTGTTTCACATGCACCAGCTCCCAAAATGAGACAACATAGTCACTTAAAAAGCCGCCCTGAGCACATGCCCAGCACCACTCAGGCTCACTCTCTTAGGCATGCTTACGGTGTGTGATCAGGGCTACTCTAAGGTAGACAGTTGCTTCATTTCTGGCATTTGGCATGTGTAGAATTGGCACAATTGGTAGGGGTGTGCTTCCTGGCAGTGCTCCCAGGGGTGGTACACAGGTGCTGTAGATATGTCCTGAGACACCAACCCTCTGGGTCTCCAGCAAGTGGAGTCATCTCGAGTGAAGCACCAAGTCAGATGCTTCAGGTCTGAGGAGAGGCAGGAGCTCAGTCAGACCCCTGTGACTCACCTTTTCCATTGGATTGTTTTAGATGGCTCCCTGCTCAGCACCATGACACGCTAGATTGCCCTTTGGAGGTGCCTTTTTTCTCCTCCATGTATAGAGATCCTAGGCCCTTAAACCCGACTTCTGTGACTAGGAGTCTGGTGTTCAGTGTGCTGAAGCCTACATGGAAGCAACTATAAGAATGATCTGGATCTGGCCCTAACCGAGTTGCCCAAGGCCTAACTCGGGGGCGGGCAATTATTTCAGGCAGAGGGCCGCTTACTGAGTTTTGGCAAGCCATCAAGGGCCACATGACAGGCAGCCAGGGGCAGATAAATATTAATTTTCTAAATTTTTTAGGGCCCCCATGGGCCGGATAGAATGGCCTGGTGGGCCGCATTTTGCCCACTTCTGGCCTAACTCTTTGGTAAAATCACCCTTTGAATGTATGACGGGGTTAGAATGTGTTCATCAGTTAACTGTTGGCCTGTTTTTAATAGACCAATTCATAATCTCATTGCCAACTACTTGGCCTTGACAATGTAGCAAAGACCCTTGTGAGACTATTTTAATGAGGAAAAGCAATTCCTCTAGGCAGGTATTTGGCACTTCCCCAGAGAGGGCATTCCATATTGCTAAAGATTATGATTTTATCAGTGAGTTTCACAATATTTTATGGGGTTTTTTTCTTAAAGCCTCAGCTTGTGGAGTCTTGGGATTGGGTGAGGAATTCAGCTTTCATTAAAAAGAAATAAATTCTAGCCCTGGACTCAGAAATCAGAAGGCAAATTATGTTTAAAAAAAATCCTATGATTTTAATCCAATATCATTTTGGGAGCCTACCTCACAATTTTGGAATGCTTCAGGTTAGCATTACCATACAGTAAAAACATTGAGTAGTCTTTAGCTCTTTTCTCCAGATGGGAAACCAAGGCCCAGAAAGGTGAAGTGACTGGCCCAAAGCTAAAAGTTAAGGGCTTGGTTTTCCAAAGTACACCCATCATGTGAGCTCCTAGTGCCCAGTAAGCTCTAGTTCCAGGTCACTGGCAGAGCTGTGAGTTCTTAATGCTTACGTGTATACTCAAGCAACTATATTGATTCTCTTCCTCACAAGAGTCCTAGTCCTTGCTTATAGTAAATACTGGCTAGAGGTCAAATTCCAGTCTCAAGTTTTGACTCAGAATGCACTCAGGCAAAGTCCCATTAAAGTTAATAAGAGCTGTTAGCTTTGGCAGCGCTTTATCTGTTAGCTTTGTTTTTAACTTTCGTTAGTGTTGGCTGTTAGCTTTCATCTCAGGCTGCTAATTTCTTAATGGCAGCTGTAAACCCTGGGCTTTCACTAGGATTAACGGACTTTTAAGAATAGGAACAAAGCTTCAGTTCCACAAGGAAACACTGAGAAGCAGGTGGGTAATAAGGACCAGGACAGCAGTATGAACCTAGCAAATACTCTCTTTGATTGTTAATAGAGTATCTATGGAAATAGCACCTGTCTGCAGAGATACCATATAAATTTCCTACCTGGATTGATAGCCTAGTTTTCCAGGAATCAGTGTGTCAGGTGGCATAAAATCAAGCCCACTCCCAATGAACTTCCTCTTCAGAGAGCTGACTGGAGCACCAGCATTCTCCAGGCAAGTGACCACTGGTAACTCTGCCTTCCTGATGCTGTTGGGGAGAAAGACACCATCCTTTATCCCCACAAGATTCTGGTAGACATCAGGTGCTGGCTTTTTGCGCAAGCTGTTGATGCCCAAAGCTGGACTGCTTTCTTTTTCTTGGGGCAACCATTTCTCCTCTTCTTCCTCTCGGACACCTTTCGCCCAAGGAAAATTGGTCTTCAGCACTGGCACCTTCAGCAGTCCTGCTTTCTGGGGTTCACTGGCAGTTTGGGGTTGGGGAGGAGATGGCATGGCTGACCCTGCTGGCTGCCGGGCCTCTGGTTTGCCTGCAGCTGTCTTGCTTTCAGTGGAGCCAAAGGTATGTTCAAAGAGCAAGGGGTAGTAGAAACGGGGCAGGAAGGCTGATCTCTCAGGGTGCTGGAGGGGCTGGAAGTGAGTGGAATGTGGGTGCATCAGCTGAGCAGTGGAGGCTAGGAAGGGTAGCTGTGTGAGGTGGGGGTGGGCTGTGGCACTGTTGGTCATGGTGGGACCTAGATAGGAAAAGAGGCTGGGGTTCAGCGGGTAGTTAATGCCCAGCAGTGAGAGGTTCAGGCCATGAGGTTCATGGTAATCACCATAGGCTGGAGGGGGATAGCAGGGGATGATGTTGCCTTCAGTACATGGTGGGGAGACATCGTTGGTACCTCTTCTTTGCCCATTAGCAACCAGCTTCCACTGCTCCATGAGAATCCCGCTGCTCCCCAGGCATTTCTTTGGCACCTTGCAATGCTTTGGCTTGGCTTCTAAGTCTGGAGAAGGAGTTTCCTTGCCCTTCATCATGTGGTTCTTCAGTGAGAAGACATCTGTGATGATGAAATCAGGCTCAACCTCTTTGCAAGGCTTGTCCCTTTTGTTCTTGAATCCAAAGACCAGGGTGTTCACCTCTGGTTCAGAAGGATCACCTGCCTCCTCCTTTGCTTTCTCCTTCTTCTCAGCTGAATCCATCTCTCTCAGCAGCCCAGTCATGTCTTCCTCCTCCTCTTGAAAATGGCTGGCTTCTTCATTGATCCCTTCTGAGGGCAGGACTTCAGCTTCTGGTGCTGGCTTGTCTCCCTCATCATCTCCATCTGCGGCTTGCTTTGGATTAGCCATCACTCCTGCTGCAGCTGAAGAGTCACAGGCTTCTTGCTCATCCCTCCTGCCACGGAGCCGAGATGTCTCTGTGGCCTGTAGGAGGCGAAGCTCAGGGTGCAGCAAGTTTCCTTTTTTGTAGGGCCAGTCAGACTCAATAAGCAGTGAGAGTGAGTTCTTACAGAGGCTGTACTTCATGTGGTTATAGAGATGGGACTTCTCCATGCAGGTGAAAGGGCACTGGAAGCACTTGTAGTTGTAGGGCTTCCCCCATGGCCTTGGGATGTAATGTGGCTTTTTAGGCTTACGCTCCTTGTGCTTGTAGACTGAAGTCAACTTGCAGCTTACTTCATCCTTTGACATGACTGCTGGGATGGCTGTTCCTCCAACAGGTTTTTTTTAGGACACAGCAGAATTGGTTGCAGATGCTAATGGTCCCACACCTCGCCTGGAATTGTTGTACCCCCTGAAACAGGACAACACAGCAAAAGTCAGATCCTGACTATACCTTCAGCCTTCTTCAGAAGAGATGGTTCTGCTCTAGAGAGCTTAGGGTTCTCTAAGCTGTGTGCGCACCAGGTTATTCCCATTTGCTGCCAACAAGCTGCGCTGCAGCAGAAAATACTTTGTGCTAAACTCCAGTGTGGGTGTAGGTAGGAGACTATATCACCAAGGTCACCATGCAAAAATGCAAACATATCCCTGATGCATCTCCATTAGTAAAGGCTGCACTGGAGCGGGGTATCAGTTTGACTTGAATGAAATACAAAATAAATGCCAACTCTTGAGCTAAGCATAGATCATTGACACTTTGCAGGAATACAAGACACAGTTGGGCATGCCTGAAAGCACTTCTACACACTCACACGCAAGTCAATAGTTAGAAGGGCAACTATCCAATTGGCAGACACAAACAGTTTTGTAGATATAAATGTACAGATCATTTTAGGAAATATCAGCCTTTTAGATTAATTTGCTGATTTGAATTTCAATCTTACTGAAACCCACTGGGAATATATAGAGGAGAACATAACTCCCCATAGTCCTTGATTACGAAGTTATCTTTGTGCAGGCCAAAACTTTAAAACTTTGAAGTGACTCTGCCTTTGTACCTTACAGACCTGGGTTTCCCCACTAAGACTGGCAGTGATGAGGCCAAGCAGAGCCAGCTATAGGCTTCTGACATTAATGCTGTAAGGTGTTAAGTAGGTGGAGATCCATTGGGTGAGAGCAGGAGTAAAGACACCAACTTATTTCACAGGGGCTATTGGACTATGATGAACAATAGCAGCTTACACTCCCTCCTGACCTAGCTTGGAGGCAAATTTACAAACCTGGCCTAAATTTAAAAGAAAGACTAGCTGACTGAAAGGGGCTTGCTGAGCACCTACCCTTTGAAGAACAGGCCTTTGGTGGGGTTTCAAAAAAATGAATTCCTAAATCTTTGGTCACTGATTAATATGTAGGCACTGGAGGCAGAAGATTCTGCATGTCTTATTCCAGTCCCTAAGCCACCAAGCACCAGCCTCTACCTTGTCCCTTTTGGAGGTCCCAGGCACTATTTTTTGTTTCCATTGATAGATAGGAAAACCCTTGAAGTGGCTGTGGGGAAAACCCCTTTTTCTGCAGCATCAAGACATGGGAAACAAGGACTAATTTAAAAATGGATCTAGTTAATTCCTGAGGACCTGATCCTGTCCTTGGCTTCAAACAAGAGGCTCCCACTGAAGTGAACAGGAGCTGCCCATGTATATCGGAGGGCAGATTTGACCACAAGGTTGTGTGGAGAGAGGCAGAACCCTCCCAGCAGGAGCAGATGCATTTCTAGCGGCAACCACAGCCCTTGGGATCTGACAGACTCTCAGAGTCTGTTTGGCATTAACTTAGAGAAGCCTTCACGCAGGCTGCCACGGTGTCAGCTCTGCAAATGGGAGTGAACAGCCCCGGGAGGGAGGCCAGGGATCTTGGAAGCAGCATCTCCAGGTTGCTGTTCTCTCTGCCGCAGACATGGGCAGCCGGAGCCATTAGGAGAAGCAATCTGCTTGGCTCCTGTTGGCTGCAGCTTCAGGTGCCCTCCAGGGGGAATGGGAAAAGATTTTGCGAGAGGAGAAAGAAAAACCCTTCAAACAAAGTAGCAGTTGTATTTTCTGCCTTACCAACACTCTCCACTCCTAATAGGACAAACTCCTGCACAGGACAAACTGTCATACCTGGGTCTGCTTCTAATAAAGATCTGCTGAGCAGTACCAGAAACCTGAGGGGCCTTAAAGGGACTTGTTTTTCAGTGAGTTCTCAGCACCCTCCCTCTGAAAATCAGGCCCTTTTATGTGTTATCCTGGGGGAGCTGTACCTCATAGTAACACCACTTCCAGTGCGTTTTCCAGATTCCTTGTCCATATTTTTCCGTGTTGAGGATAAATCAAGCGAAACCTTTCAGAATCCTAATAACTGCTACTTAGCAATAATGGTTTTCACTACTGTAACACCTGTGTGACCTTTCAGCACATGTGGGTGATCTAATTCCCATTTTACTGCTGAGGAAACAGAGGGGTAGAGTGGTCCCAAAGCACTTCACAGAAGAAGGGAGGTACCCTTGTTCCTGTGATGTAGATGGGGGAAGTTGAGGCACAGAGAGAGGATCCAGTTCATGCAGTGGGAGAGGAATCGAGAACAGAATGACAACCTGCTTAGTGTTTGATTGGGGCTCTGTGACATGGTAGCAGGGGACTGTACTCAGTGTCCCAGGAGGCCCCTTCCCAGCCATATTCCTAATCCACCAAGGTGGTTCGTTCCCCTGCTCTGTCTGTTTTACATTTCTAGCCTGTGTCTTCAGGACTGTCTCTGGAGACATAGCATGAAATCTGCCCCATCTTTTCTACTGACTCACTCTAACAATAGGCCATACTGTCTCCAGGTGTAGTGAGAGTCTTTAGGTGCAGACAGAAGTGACAGTTTTTGCCCGATCTGGCCCCTGAAAGCGCCCTAGAGACATGACCTAACACAAGTGCATGGCTGCAGAGCACTTTAAAAGGGTCCAATCCCGTGACAATCTGAACCGTCATGTAATGAGGGTTCAGATGAAGGCGCTCCAAAGTGGAGTGCCTTGGTTATCTTGTATTTGTATGTACTGGGAGGAGGGTTGGACTGATGTAGGCCAACCCTGCTCCCAGCGCTGTTTTCAGAATGGGAGGGGGGGAAACCGTTAGCTGTTGGGTCAGGAGAGTGGGTGATTGAACTCCAATTTGGAGCTGATCCAGAGAGAGAGGCTGCATGTCTGCACATAGGTGGAAGGAGAAAAAATGATTTGAGGGGCTGAGTGCATGCCTGCACATGCACCCCCACTCCCCAGCAGGTAAGTCTGTGGGGGAAGGGCCAGGGGGAGGGGTGAGGGATTGCAAATTGAGACCCCAGCAGTGAGGGAGGGCACAGGCAAGAGCAGGGGCTAGGGTGAGTGGGGCCCTGGCCAGGCTGGGTGGTGGGACAAGCAGAGGCGTGAGGGGCACATGCCCCCACCAATCTGCACGGGGTGGAGGCAGCTGCAGCTGTGCACTGGGCATTGAGCCCCGCTGCCCCGAGAGCCGTGCAATACCAGGTGCATTCTGCTGCCGGGTGGGCAGGAGGCGCAGCACAGCCCAGTGGCAGCAGGCACGTGGCATCGGCCACTCCCAGGGCAGCTGCAGGAGGAAGCAAAGCACAGCATGCAGCAGCAACGGCCTCCGTCCTGCACGCAGATCGGGGAGGGGGGAGATATGCCCCCTGGGCCTCCACTTGTCCCACCACCCAGCCCAGCTGGGGCACCACTTACCACAGCACCTGCTCCTGCCTGTGTTCTGTTCCCTCCCTCACTGCTGGGGACTCTATCTGCAACCCCCCCTGCCATGGCAGCGGGTCAGACCTGATGATCTATTTAGGTCCCTTCCGACCCTAAGCACTATGATGATAGTGCAATGGCAGTGAGGGAGGGAATGGGGCTGGGGCATCCCTGCACAGCTGGGGCAGGGCACGGGACGGAGCCATGGGTGGCTTGTTCGGGGAGTGTCCAGCGCAGGAAGAGGGTGGCAGCTCCTACCACTGCACACACCCCAGGAGGGCATGGGGGCACGTGCCCTGGATCTGTGCATGGGGTGAGGACGGGCTGCCAGTGGTGGGATGCATATGGTGTCAGACTTGCGCAGCTCTCGAAGCAGCGGCAGCAACGCACAGAGGCAGAACAGAGCCCAGCGCATAGCAGCAGTCTACCCTTGCCCCGCGCACAGATTGGGTGGGGGGGGGTCACGTGCCTCCCCCCATTTGCCCCACAGTGGTGGGAGCCCCCCCTGTACCCTTGAATGCAGCACGGGGCTCCAATTGTCCCACTGTGACCTGGCCCGACCAGGGCCCCATTCACCCCTGCCCCTGTCCCACTCCCTTCCTCATTGTGGGGGTATTGATCTGCCCCCTGACAAGCACCTTCCCCTTCACAAAGAAACCAAACTG